TTATCTTACACAATGCAAAAAGCTGAATTAGATTATTTAGATTGTCCATAGCTGTGTGGTTAGAAACTAGGTTGCAAGACAGAACACACCTCTCACTATTATTTAAAACATGTTCCTGACATAGCAGTTTCAAGCCGTTTTCGTCTGTGTTCACAGATTTACAGCATGGATTAGCAAATGAGATACTGCCCAATTTGCGTTATTAAATGGAACAAATTAAATTATTCAACAGACGATTCATAAAGGTATAGTTACTAGTTAAAAATAGGATTAATGTTAGAACTGTACAGTGAGTTCACATTTGTTACAGTTGGTAATGAAATTTCCTTCTTTGTTATTGCTTGGAAGAGAAATAATTTTTCGATAAGTTGAAAACACATTCACCAACGTCAGACCTGTAGTAGTCAGTAAAGTTGTGAAGAGTCATCAGAGTATGCAGCAGTCATGAAGCCGCACGCCGATGATTCTGTCTGAATAAATGTATCTGTCCGTTTGCAGTCCATGGATTTATAATGGCGCGTTGAGTCGTAATTGACTGAGATTACCACTACAGAACAATTATGTACCCGTCACAGAGAAGTTAAGTAAATCCATGCGAGAGAATATGTTTTCTGGCGATTTCACAGTATTGAAGGATTACGAAATCGTGCGAGAAAAGAAGGGAAAAATTATGGAGACAGTGGAGCCTACATTTCAGCAACACAAACAGAAACTCTACGGGTACAGATAGTAATAAACAAAGGGATTGGGTAAGACAATCACTGGTAAAATTGGATGCAATAATGAATGTTTCTATTACACCAATCGTGTTCTCTCTATAAAAGTGGAATGACTACAGATTTAAGGCCTGCATTTGTCGTGAGACTGACAGTTATCCTCATAGCGTTTACAATCTAATGAAAACAGACCAACGTTCCAATTTTCGGAATGTCAAAATGTGAAAGAAATGCCTACATAAGGTAAGGAATAAAATAATGATAACGATAAATTTACATACTAGATATAAGTTTGGGTGTATTCCGCTAGCTCGTAAATACCCAACCCAGGCTGTTATAATTATGTCTAAATAACAAGAAAAACAAACTCTGATCCATGTAGTGACATTTAAGTCGTAAACTCGAAGTAATCAATCCAAATATTTTGTTCTAATAATACTCATAACAAACTATATAACGAACTGTCAGTTTTACTTTTCCAGATTGAAATCAGCGAAATACCGAAAAAAGAGTTAAACCGAAAATGGTCAAGGTCGAAATTATAAACATATAATTTTAAGACAAGAGCAAAACAAATCATCCCAAAACACAATAAAAATGACGATATTTATGGTGACAATTGGTAATTAAATACTTCAAGATCTTTCAGTAGCAGTTACACAAGCATCCACCTTCAATCGAACAGTTCGGTGTTTAACCTTACAAATTTCACACTCATCAAGTATTACCACTCATTTGTTAACTAAACATGTTATTTAGACGCCACATATTTTACTTACCGGTTATCTTATTGGTAGCATTCACCTGCTTTCTATATATTATTGCACGTGACTTATTTTATGCCTCTACAATATGGTAGTCAGGGAGAGCAAGAGAAATGGGGGGTAAAAAATGAACAAGATTATCAACGGAAGTGTAAAGAGTGACCTAATCAACATCATGTTGATGAAATACGGTTTACCCGTACCCTTTCCGGTTATGAGGTCTTTACCCACCTACCTACTGAACCAAGCTAAAATGAAGAAACAAAGAAGAGTCTGTTGTGAGCGAATCTAGATAACAGATTGACTATGCTCACCACTAAATGTTCCATAATATCCCGTCTTTATTCATAGCAAAACAAAATAAATCCATATTCCATAGTTTTATTGAAGGAGAACGTTGGAATTACATGGGGAGCAGCAAATAGAGAAAGATGGCAGCAACGCGAAGAGAACGTTGCGCGCAAGAAGTAGTAGAAGTGTTTTTGGTACAGTTAAACAAAACGAGTACAATAATGTTTACATTACAAAAATCGCATTTTTTTCGTAGAAGCGTTCCACTACAAGTCTATTTCAAAAACGTGAACTCAACTAAACCTGGGGAACTTCTCTAATGTTTGCAAAATAATTAGGTGTAAAAAGAAGTATATACTTACAAATAACTGTTGTTTGATTCCAAATAAATTTATGGTCCTTCAAGACGTACCAACAATGTGGAAGAAAAAAAACACAGGAACAAACATTTTCTATAACAGAAAATTATTTAAAAATTGTTATCATTATTATTCTCCAAGGATTCGGATTCACCAGTCGAGCTGATTAAATACAACAACTTTGAGTTTGTGACGACTATCTCTTGTTACCTAGTTCGTAACTACCGATACAGAAAGTATCCGCTGACCAGGAGTGATAACTAGCCACATAAAAGTAAAGGAATTTTAGTGCTAGAACTAGATAGGCTTCTTAGAGACATTAAAACTGTCGGAGTTCTCTAGTCTAGCCATCTTGATAGCCTGATGCTGACATGTATATTATGGCAACGAGTCTCTATTCCTCAAAGTCACTTAGAAATGAAGTTCTTGTCCACGTTATAAGTGTTTGTGTTAAATGTTGAATGATAGTCTTATTGCTGATGATATGTTCAGCTTCAAAGATCCTGTGTTAAGGAGCCAACACCACTACAAACTCTCATTTCTGAATGACACTTCTGTAGACCACCGACAGAAGTAATCTGTGTTGATGATCGGTGTTTGCTCGAGTTGAACGGGAAAATTTTCACCTTCTACCTCACAATGAAACCATGTCTTGCGGTTATTACTTGATGTGGAACATGCTTTCATGAGATCCAGGTAAACCAAATTTCAAGTAACCTACAAGAATCAATACTCTCAGTAAGCAGTAACCTTTATTAGTGTTAACGCATCCCAGCCACAAAGAAGCAGGGTCCAGGTAAAAAGCACTTGAGGACGTGACCGACAATGTTTGACCACACTTTGGTCCGTAATGTCTTTCAGATCGAGAATGCTCAAAGGCAAGACAAAGCAGAAGTCAGGAATGAAGAGGATCAACTCATAGAGACTATTTATAGTAATGCAGGAATGCATAGTTTTGAAACGTTTTTTGGATCATAGTTCCTCATACTGAAGTGGTTAGAAAAACAACATAAAATATACATAATTTGCATATGAGAACCCAATTTATCCATAAAGTTTTCAAAAGAGAAATGCATCAACTGTTTTTGAGTCGCCTGATCTTTATTTATTCTGTGCTTGTTCAATACCCATTATCTTCTTCACGAGCTGTTATAAACCAGTTGATTTCTTTGCGCTCGATTCTCGTTCTTTGCGTACGGTTTCAGGTGTTGGCTGGTGTCCAGTGGATGGCAGTACAGCCAGTCGACTGACTGATTCTAGTTAGATGAGCCAGTAATATTAATTAATTATTATGTCCCATGATTTGAATGAATACATTTGTTTCAGGGCAGTAAGGTTTCTGGATACCAGCAGCTATCACATAAGCAGGCCGGAGATCATTTAGTTGCAACGTGGAGAATAATAAGGAGTAAATAAGTGGATAATTTGGTTTATTAGTTAATACTGGAGATTGTGCGAGAGGACTGACGTGTAAGCAAGGGAGACGAAAAAGAGACGATAAGCGATCTGAGATGGCAATGATAACAATTAGCAGGTCTGAATACATGCATCATGCACAGCTTGTTCATGAGGGAGATGATGTGAGTACGAGTTTATCAAGCCTCTTCTTGAAGCTGTCCACTGAGGAGGCTGTTGTCACTTCGGCTGGGAGAGCATCCGAAGTTGCAACGACACTCAGTGAGAAAATGTGTGCACAAGCCTGAGTGTTCTCTCTTTAATGCGTAATTTTTCGAGCGTTGCCTGGAGGGAAGTAGTGGTGATGCACCGGCAAGATGCTCTTTTTGTCATGAACCTAAGCAGATGCTTGATGTTTACCTGTATTTGAACTACCGGCTTCACCTGAGAGCGTTTCCTATCACTTTTAAAATTTGGAATTGCATCTTTTCGCAATGCCAAATGAGAACTTTTGTTGGAATCCTTTGAGGAGACCTTCTACTTGTGCCAGGCTCTCATTTTCGCCTGTAGTAAGCGTTCAGAGCCGCTCCTAACCCACGTTCTTCTGTTTTTGGGTATGCGATGTGACTGGGGTACATTGTCTAGGCCAGCATTCTGGATGATGTCTCTCACTGTTTGCCACTGATCATCTACTGTCAGCCTCCACCATTCGCGTGGCCATAGGGCATGTAGAAGATTTTCTCTCATCGGCGTATAATTCGCCCTAATGTAGCAAAGGTAGGGTTCGTTTTCGTGTTTCGTTTTTGACCATGCTAAACAACACTGTCCCGTGGTCCCCAATTCCTACTGGTGTATGAACGTAAACATCCTCGACTAAGAGCTGATCTCTGTTGATAAATAATCCAGGTTTGAAGATTTTCTCTCCTTAGTCCACCAAGTGGCACTGCATGTATAATCAGTCAGTCCATAGCTTCTAATGGCTGCGCCACTTCGTCGTTGAAATCAGCCAGTGGGAGTTGCACTCTGATTGCTGAGATTTAGAGATGCAGTGTGGAAATTTCCAGTTAAGAGTATTTGATCAAACGCAAGGAGGGGGGCCGGTAAAACCTTTCCATCAAGTATTTCGTGCCATGTGTGATGAAACAACACCAACATGATTATGTCACTTTGGTTAGTTGGGTGTCGTGCAGCCTCTCGGCTTTTAAGTGTCTGTTAATATATATAGCAACTTCTCCTCCTGTCTGGTGTACCCCATTGCTTCGAAAGACTGTCATGCTTTGCAAGCTTACTTCGTCGTCTGCAATGTCAGGGGATTGCCATGTTTCACTTAGGATTATGATGTTCAGAACTATTCACGATTTCTAACAGCTGGCCTCTTAGTCCTCTCACGTTTCTACAAAAGCAATTGGTGAATGAGGTAAACTGTCATTTTCGTGCGTTGATTTTGTTGAAATGAATCACTATACGGCTGATGACCCTCAAAGACTTATCAACCTGAAGGTTGTGACATCTTTTGTATCCTTGATGTTGAACCTCTACAATTTTGTCTAGTGTTCCGAATGAGTCAGTGTGACAAAGAGACTTTAAATTCTGAAGATACAAAACTTGCAATTGGTGATGTTGTATACGTCGGTTCTGGGACCGCGCGGATCGGTAAAATTGAGTTCATCGGAGAGACACAGTTTGCCACCGGAGAGTGGGTTGGCGTAAATCTGTTCTCACCATGTGGAAAAAATGATGGGTGTGTTGATGGTGTAACTTATTTCACATGCAAGCCGTTGCATGGAATATTTTCTAAGCGTGGTAATGTCCGATTAGCACCAACCCCTATACCTGAAGAATTATGTTCAAAAGTAGGTAAAATTGTCGAAATTTCTACATTCTGATAATCGAAATTTTCGAAAACTTAAAAATTATTATTATTTAACGCGCTGATCGCCATACAAAACGTTGCAAAAGTATACGTCTTTCGACTTACAACGAAATAATATTAGTTCTTTTTTGCATAATATTTTACTGAAATAAGGTCAAACTACCTCAGTATTCTGTTTCAAATTGAAGCCGATAACTTCAAAAACACCCTAAATTTCGGAAGACTACCTATCAAACATTTTCGTGTTAAACGTGAAAAACACGGAAGCTGTACTTCTACCGACCCTGTTTTACTTATATTACTCCTGAATCAGACTAATATTTGTAACCTTCAGTGATCATTTTGTTTGCTTGAAAGCAGATTAAGTCAGTTCTCACATAATCACATTTTGATTGAGAAAATAAGCATTCCTTCTAGGCCCTCATTGATACAGCTTTCTTGTCTTCCTTCAAATTACCCTAACGTTTTGTCTTTAAAAGAATTCAGACTGTCATCAAGTTACGGCGTGGCTTTTGTCAAAAAATAATCGACCAACCACATTGAAACATGATTCTTCAATATCATTTTATGGTAACACGAATCTATGTGTGCTAGAAGCATGCACTTGAGCTTACTATGAAATGTCAGTATAATCCTGTCTGGGTATAGGTAGACACAGGTGATTTGTAGTTGAAGTGTTTGTTGTTAAATAAAATGAGGCAACTAGTGAAGTTTTTTCAAGAATCAAGTATTGGCTTCTATACTAGGCTCTGATTTAATCATAGTCAATAAAATCCTGCCACAAATGTTCATCGGCACAATCTGTTAGCACATCAGCGTAGGGGTTGGGACTATTGCGATACCAAAGTAGTATCTGTAGTGAAAAAGGTAAACTTACTTGGCTTTGAAATATTCTAATTATCGTTTGCTAGAGAAACCACCCAGCTTAACTTGTTGAGTGATCTTTGAACTTACAACTTGGCAGCTGATTGCTAAACAATTGAAGTTCTTGGATGCAGCAGCATTATAACGTTATCTCTGATTATCAAATAGTAGGGGAATTATGGGACGTTTATTTTTTCTACTGTGCTGGTAGAATTGTGACACTGAAGTCGCACACATGCGTAGCCTTATGATGAAACTAGTTGTACCTGATTATATCGTGTAGTTTTCTTCTAAGAAATGGAAATCACCTTGTCATGTTACCTGTACACCAGAATCGAGCGTTTTGCATGTGATTAACTAAGGCCTTATAGTCAGAATCAAAAAGGTACTTCTTGATAATGGTAGTTTATATTTTGGAAATTAATATAGCTATCTAAGTATCGATTTTGATTTTGAATTTATTCATGTGAATAATTAGTAGTCCAAATTCTTTCTAGTTTGTTTGGAGGAAATCAAAGTAGCATATAACTAAAATCTAGTCGTGAGCTGGCGTGACTCACTGGTTAAAGTATATTCTGACCCCGTATATATTGGTCTGACTCAACCTGTAAGTTAAAGGTCTGTACACTTTTCTATAATTTGTAGTCAACCCATGTTAGCAGACTTAAAATATGGATAATTATATATTGCGAAAATTTTGCGTCCCGAGTTTATTTAAATGTGTTGTCGAATCGCACATATGTGATCTATTACCAAGTCTTTGAATTTATGTATCTTTTGCCCGTAACGTTTTAGGTAGATTCAGCAATTCCTGATAGTGATAAAGTGCTAAATAGCCAGTCAAAACAAAATAGTGTTTTAGACGTTAATAGTGTCTGCTCATCCAAAATTTCTTTACTGAATTCTCCTGCTTATGCATCTGGGCGAAATACTTTGCAAATTGGTGATCATGTTCAAGTTTCTGGAGGTCGAATCGGTATCCTCAGATATCTTGGGCCCACAGAATTCGCTGCCGGTGAATGGGCAGGTGTTGAGTTAGATGAACCTATCGGGAAAAACGATGGCTCAGTTGCTGGTGTACGGTACGTTGTTCTGTACATTTTACGATTTCTTAAAATTTGATATTAGTCAAATCGTCAAATGTTATTTCCTAGTATACATGCATATAGTATCAGAAAGTGGTCTAAAAAATAATATTGTATCTGTGCACCACCGAACGTTGGTATCGTTCCAGAGAATATAGTGATTTGTATGAAAACTATCCTATATTTCAGATTCCTTGATGAAAATGTTATCTGATGAACGACTTTGAAAAATAGTTCTCTGCATATATTTACTTATAAGACACCACTAGATCATTGCCAGAAATATGCGTCTAGAGCTCGATACAATTTCTAAGCTGACCAATGTTGTAATAATAGAGTTCTGTATTTGTGTTCCAAGTGGAGAAAAAAAGTGATAGTCTGATAAACTCATCCCAGGTTTAGTGTCCTTTGTTCTATTCGAAAAGTCGATGTTACTGATTCTAGGCAACTAAAGATGATTCTACTGTATCAACTAGTTAGGTGACTTATTTATCAAGTGCAGGTTTGTTTACTTAGCTTTAGACCGCACATTTTACTGTTATTGGTGCTAGCCAGTTCTCCGAAAACATATAGGTGAGATCTGGTTATATAACCTTCAAAAAATATTTTGAAGAATAACTTTTAAAGACCAATCTGTATATCATTTACTTAATGAGTTGTTGATGTAGGAAAGCATTGTTAGTCAGTCAGCCAGCTACAACGTAGAACTTCGTACGTATGTACATCAGTTCATGTTGCTATACCATACTAGCACAGATATCTAACAGAGCATTGTCACTCTATATAAGTTATTAATATTTCTATTATGTGGTCCTATTTTCTATTCGATTATCATCTTCAGTGAGTGTGTACTTAACTTTCATCACCAAAGTGACCGACAGCTCAGTCATTTTGTATTTGTATTTATCTTCTGAAGTTATTTTGTAGAGCATATAGTTTTTGTAGATATCAGTACCAAAGTAGATTGTTGTTTTTTTTGTTTTAAACGTATTGATATCGAATAAATCTGACAGTTTTTTTTTATCAAGTATTATATCTTTTGAAATTTTTGTACATAGATATTTTACTTGTAAACCAAATCATGGATTGTTTGCAGCAGCTAATAAAGTTGCACCTGCTGATAGTAAGAATGGATTTCACACATCTGGTTTTGATGCATCAAAAAATAGTCAGAATCGGTAAGTTAACGTGATGTTATTTTTTTTAATAGGATCCTGTCATGTATCAATTCAGTCAGTTAGTCAGCTACAACGTAGAACTTCGTACGTGCGTATATATCAGTTCAAGTCGCCATACCACATTAACACACACAGAGATTAAATTGTAAATTCAAATCCCATAGTAGTAGGTTTTAAATCAATTACTCAGAAGTTATTAAAGTCTATTTTGTGGTCGGAAATACAAATTAGTATTTATGCTAGTAACCAAGTTTTACAAATATCCATCGTCCAACACGACGGTAAATGTTATTGATTGGATTTCCATCAGCTTCAAAGGTTGTTTCACTCGCGTCGGACTTCTTGCTGCAATTGGTTCGGATGAGTTGAGAAAATTACCAGAAGTTTCTAAATGCAGCTGCTGGTTCCAGCTAGTTAGCATTTTCCCACTGCTAGACTTCTCTATCCTTACACAAATTTTACACAATTTCATTACATCAGAATCTATGTCCTTCATCAAACTAACGGTTAGCCGTAGTAGACTGACGTGCCTCAACGAGTTATAAGGAGTTTGTAAAAACTCATTAGTTGTAGGCGAAACGTTTCACAAGGCCGCAAGCAATTTTACTCGCCATTTTCATGGCTTCATACAAATGCAGTCAATATTCATCTGTAATCTTTGATGAGTTTATAGCTAGCTTTGAACCTAGCTTGGTTAGGCATTTGGCTGCAGCAGAAGCTGCATCAATACGTCTTGGAAGATGAATTTGTTCTTCACTAGAATGCAGGAAAAGATTCGTGCAAACGAGGGTGTGATCAGATTTCAGATAATTACTCCAAAATGAACTATAGCTGTGTACACAACCACGTCAACAGTAGCTGATTGCCGTGTGACCAGTCTGAGTCCAGGATTGGTTTTTTGGGGGATCACCAGGTAGGAGTGGGTAACCTCCAGGCAACGAATGCGTCTAAAGATGTTGCTAGCCAGAAACAGGTTATAATCTGCACAAAGTTGCAGTATACAGTGAAGATTATTCCATCTGTCACGAAGGAGTCGGATTGACAATCCAAACGACTCTCCTCTAGACTTCTAATCAGAGTATTCAAATCTCTGGCTAGCACTGAAATATATTTTGAACGTGTTTTTTGAAAATATTCAACTGGTCGTATAACTGATCCTTGATTGCATCCGGGCAGCAGTCTTCCGGGAAGGGGGTCGGTGGAGATAATGAAATGATGATGTCTTCCATAGTGATTTTTCATTTCTGATCTAGAAACAGCTGTTAATGATCATACAGTTGATTAGCGATGTCTATGTTCTGTGACGTAATGCGACATCAGTGTGATCCAAAGTGAAGTAAACATTTCAAGTAAGAGAGTGAACTCTCCTTACTCTCAGTTATATCTGGGTATTCAGACTTAGGTACCTAGTAATTGGCAGAAATCGCGACCCCATTGATGAGGCTATAAACCCTAAACGACCGTAGTTATTGGAACATGCAAAAAATGTAACTGGCCATCGTTTATCGCCCTGCACCTACTACTGATATAGGCGTAAGCTGGAAGATGTGACATCTGTACGTCAAGTCAGTGACTATCGAGATCATAAATGTTGGTTGATAAAGACTCACGTTGATACCATTTGAATAATAATAATAATAATGATAATAATACTAATAATAATAATCTATGATTGAGGATTTACGTTGTGACCTAAAAATCGGTATTTATTGTGTTTCTATTACACAAATGAAGAGTGTGTCTTCCTCATAATTTATTTAGAATAATGTTTCGTCAGTACAAATGCTGGAACGATTTAGTTTTTTTTTTAAAACAAATAACGTTAAGCATATTTTGAAGCATAAGAATTAGGCTTTTTTTTTCTTCAAGTAAACGCAGTTATTAATATATCCTTATGAAATATCAACTATAAATCATTTCAAAGTAAAGTGTATCTTTTCTAAAATATTTTTACGCTTGACAGATAAAATTCTTTACCATCTCAAAATTATTTACATCAGTTTATACGCTTAATGGACGTTTTACCTTTTCTAATCTATTTTTTTTTAACATTGTAAATCCTTTGTTGTAATTAGTTACAGTCCTGTTATTCTTATTTATTGAAATGTTTGAAGTTTGAAGTAGTGTGTTCACTTCCAAAAAAATACATAAATTTTGTCACAAACAGTTTATATGAATATCTATGTTTCAATGTTAACGTGTTATTTATTGTTGTAAACCTTAAAATCACCAACGAAATCCTATGTTTTTAAGATAGTTTACATTATAAACTACATTTACGCGGATAAATATTGTAAATTATGGGGCACTAAATGTGTATGTCGTCTTTGTATGGGATTGCTGACCAATACACGTCTATGGCCTCTAAGAAGTCGGACTCTATACTTTCAAGCCTTTAAATGAGAGCGTAACATTTGAATGAACGAATTGTTACCGATTGGCTCGTATTTTCAAACTTTGGTCAACTTGCTATACTGTGAGACCATTATTATCTATTGTCATCGTTGGTACTTGTTTTACAAGCAATATAGCTAGACTACACCTGGTCTAGCTTTTTATACAAGAAACTCCTTATGAGTAGACGTTGTCGAGTGGTTTAATTCCCAAACAAATCAACTGTACGACGCTTCTTAGTTTTTAGCAGTTATGTTGGAAGAAAAGTTTATAGTGTAAATTATCTTCAAATTGAGTATTTTTACAAGCCTACCACGCGAGGAGTTTCACATTTCCTGGTGTGTTTGAGAAAATTTGTAGCTTAAGTGGATGATTCTGGAGGAATTTCGTTCTCTGAGCAGGAGTCAGTCAATCAGTCATAACGTAGAACTTCGTACGTAAGTACGTCAGTTCAGGTTGTCATACCGCATTAGCACAGAGATGCCACTGTCAGTTCAAATCCAATAGTAGAAGAGGTAGTAAAGGTATTTGATATGTTCGTCACTTAGAATGCTTGAGGCTATTACGAGTTACCTTAGTCGATAAACGCGAACGATGACTTTTACCAGCTTCCAGGAAGGCTACCCTGAATCCCAGAATCGAAATAGAAGACTTTGTAGGCGTAGAAGTATATTCTACAAGCACCCAGCAATCCCAGTACAATCAAGCATACAACTCTCGTTTATTTATACAACATAACAACGTCCTTGAGACAGTTAAGAAAATAGCATACTAAAATACACTGTAGCCAATCACAGCCATTGATTTTCCTGGTGGGAATTGAAATCTCAAGGTCATTTGATCAGCCCCTGCTGGCGAACGTGAAAACCGAAATACGGCATTATCAAGCGAATTTTGGGGATCTAACATCCCCAACACTCCTCCCCTTTTTAATAGCGTGTTCTCCTGTGGTCGACTTGCATCTTGACTATTGTTCGCCGCTGTCTGAGGGGATACCTTCGGGAACGAAGAACAGCTTGCTGCTGAGTTTCTTCTCGTGGCGGGACTCTCGGTAGGTTGAAGGTATCAAGCAATATGTCAAGGGGAAGGCTTTCTGCTCTTGATGGGCGATCTGGGGCTAGCTGTCTGCGTATCTGATTCCGATGACGTGACCATTTATCACCTCCTACCTCTACTTCGTACATAACTCGACCAACCCTTCTGACCACTCTCGCTTCTACCCAAGGACCATGGTTCGTTCTGTAGTCGCGGGCAAACACAGGGCATCCCACCTCGTAAGCGGATTGTCTTTGCTGCTTTGTCTCTACTGATGAGGGTGCATTGGTCGGATGCATCAGGCTGTGGATCGTTTTCAATCTTCTTCCCATCAGGATTTCAGCTGGGGACTTTTGCTCCGGTAACAATTCATTTGGTGTTGTCCGATAGACGTACAAGAAATTTTGTAACGTTTCGGCTGGCGTCCCCTCCCCTTTTGACTTGAGCAGTGCTCTTTTAAACGTATCCACAAACCTTTCCGCCTGCCCATTCGATTGCGGGTGGTATGGTGGCGAGCGTAAGTGTTTAATAGCTAGCCGTTGACAGAAATTCTGGAATTGGGAAGAGGTGAATTGAGAGCCATTGTCGGATACGATCACATCTGGTATGCCATTTCGTGAGAAAATTTCAGTTAGGAGCTGTATAGTCTTAGTTGTAGTGGGCGGCATAACGGGGCTGATTTCCGGCCATTTAGAAAAGGCGTCGACGACAATTAAATACATAGTTCCATTTATTGGGCCAGCGAAGTCGACATGTATCCTGGACCAAGGATGCTCAGGTTTGGGCCATGAAACCGGCGGAATTTTGGCATTCATCTTTGCCGCCTGCTGACACCGGATGCATTTTTCAACCAACGCTGTGACATGTTGATCCATGTGAGGCCAGTATGCATAACTCCTGGCTATGGACTTCATTCGTTTAATCCCAGGATGCCCAAGATGGAACTGTTTCAGAACTTTTGGACGAAGGGATGCTGGCACCACTACTCTTTCACCAAACATCAGACAATCGTTGACGATGCATAGTGACTCCCGCCGCTGATACAGTTGTTTCATGTCACCTTCAAACTTTTTCGACGGCCAACCGTTAGTGACATATTTCATCGTCATTTTGATGATGGGGTCGTTTTTAGAAGCATTTTGTATGTCTGTTGCAGACACCGGTAATGCGCGAACTGCGGTTGTCAGATAACATTCTGCGTGGTCTTCTACTGACAGAGATGCGATCACCATGTTTTCCTCAGCCGCCACTTGATCATTAATGAGTCGTGACAAGGCGTCTGCTTGACCGAATTATAGAGTACGTCGATATTGGATTTCGAAATCATACCCCAAAAGTACCAAGGCCCATCGCTGAAGACGATTTGCAGAATGGGCTGGAATGCCAGACTTTGAACCAAATATTGCTAACAGAGGCTTGTGATCTGTGAGGAGCGTGAATCTCCGACCGTACAGAAACTTATGGAAACGGCGAACAGCAAACACAAGGGCAAGAGCTTCTTTCTCTATCTGGCTATACTTCTTTTCTGCTGGGGTCAGTGTACGGGATGCATGCATAACGGCTTTTTCCGA